TGTAATAAATTAAGTACTAAGAGATGAATAAGAAATTTTTTTGCTAATGATGATGATTTTATGAGTTTGATTTAATCACTCAACGTTTTCAATATGAAAAAGTAGAAATGTTTATGCAATATAAATGTAAAGATCTTTTTCAAAAAATACCTCTTTAAAAATTGATATAAATAAATTAAATACAAAGAGAGATGAAAATTTTTTTATAAGAGAAATATTTAAGAAGTTTGATTCAATAATTAAAGTTTTTGTTATGAAAGAAATAAATGAATTAAATGTAAAAATGTAGGCTCAAAGAAGATTTTTCACAAACGCATTTCACAAGAAAGTTCTCGTCTAGTTGTTGTAATGAATGTAAAGCGAAATGATATTTATAGCGGTCAAAATATCAATTTTTGACCAATCGGACGACCCATGTGGATATCCGTATAATGAATTTGACTTTTGTATGAATCAGACGTCCTCTTGGACAGTGTTTTCCCCCGAATTTTTCTTTCTTGATTGTTTTGAAAAATATAAGCTTTTGAATGACGTTTTTACTTAATTCTTCAAGATAAGTAACACCTGTAAAAAGTTCAAATAACAAGTTGAAACCTTACATTTTGAAAAATAATTTTTATGCAAGCTTTTTTATGAAGTAATTTTTTCTCATGCATAAAAATTCATCTTTTGAGGTTTTAATGATTGATTTCTAATGATTAAAATATTAGTACATTTTTATTTGAACTATATTTCGAAGTTTGTCTCTTAGACGTCTTGTTGTGATAATTCTTTGATATCATCTCTCATGTTCTTGATCTTGATCCTTCTTGACATTTATATTTTAAGTTCTCGGCTTGAATAATTTTACTTGAATACTTAAATTTCACTTTGATTTTCATTTTGAATTCGATTTATAATGCTTGATTGATTTTAACATTGAACTATCGTCATTTAAAATCAATTGTTAGGAACAATATTAATCTTGTTTGTTATGATCAAAACATTAAGGATGAAATCAACTATAGGTCAACCCACGTACGCCATAAGCGGTGCAAATCAAGGAACGAATTGTACCTCAGAACTTAAACTTGTGTACGAGCTGACCTGCATACACAAATGTCGGATTGAATGGACCAAAATTGGCCTCTTAAGAGGGTTCATGTTTCAGGTTTATTTCCTATATTGTTTTAATTTTTT